TACGACCTCCAGACCAGGGCAGAAACCATGACTCCCATCCATGAATACTGAATTACTGTCATTTGGTCGTCCACGTGGAGATTTCGAAATCCTAAAGGAAAATCAAAGGTCAGAACTAAATGAGGTGTTAAAGACATAAACACAGCTTTGAGAGTGAAGCCTAGGATGTTGGCAGTCGGCCTCCACAGACTCTTTAAGATGAGACTGCACATCAATTCTGTATATTGCCAGCTGTCCTCAGGAGGACAATGACAGATATAAAATAATAATGTGAATGACATACCCATACCCATTCAATTATTCAATTTGAAGCACCCATTATTCTTAAGAGTTCTGTTCATGTGCAAGAAACTATTAGTGAAAGAAATGGATTGAATTACAGGTCTAATGCTGATAACTACTGTTGTGTTTTCATTATGTCTGCTGGCCGGTCAGTCTGCTATTGTCCATTTGGTAAGTTTCATCACAAAGTATAACTGTGCCAAATTCATCAGAATTGATTTAAGGACGTTGAAAAATATTATCATTACAGATTAATTTAGCCAAATAAAATAGACACAGGCTAAAAAAAAAAAGGTATTTCCTTTTGTGCATACATGTGGCTAATGGAATAGTAGCAAAATTGTGAATTTTAATTCTAGAGCCGTGTTCCCTCCCATTCTTGTGTGACTGTTTTGTGGTCAGTTGATTGTAGGCCTTAATAAAACGATATTAAAACCTGTTCGTTACTAAGTAAATCAGCACAAAAAATATATACATCTGTATTCATGTATTAATGAACAGCACATTCACAGTTTTGGTTTGTCCTCCTTTGGCCTTTTTGTATAGAATTTCCCAATATCTCAATAGCCACACAGGTCTAGGACGACATGAGACATTGTCCCAGGCCTATAGACACATGTATATTATTTTTGATGTTTTAAGGAGACCATATTACTTCTCAGTCTGTAGGTTAAATTGGATGGTAGCAGAAGGCTTTAACTACGTAACCCTTAAGTGTTTGAGACAGAGAAAAACAGCTGTGATTCTAAACTGGTATACTGAATTTGTCACAAAAACATCTGAGCTAAATAAAAAAAAAATTTTCTCCTGCAATTTTAAGCCTGCTGGTGTAAGTGTTATTCAGGGGGAGTCATTCTCTACCTGGCAATCCTTTCGCCCACTTGACCACTTTGACAAGCTGTCTCTCTCCCAGCTCGTTGAGGCTGGAGAGCAGCGTGGCAGCAGAATCCGGTTGCCCATGATCGTATCCTGCATTTACCACCTCAGGCTCAATGGACTCCAGGATGTTGAGAAAGACCAGCTGGGTGTTAAAGGTCAGGCTCGCTGTAGGTGAAAATTTGTTAACTAACTCTGTAGATTCCTGCACTGGAGAATGCTCCTCGGGGCTTTTCTGCTGACCAATCTTCTTGAGTTTACGTGCTGGAGACAAAATGATTAGAATAGGGTCATCAATACAGCTTGACTTCGATCATAGATGTGACATTTAATTCTTATGTTTTATCTAAAGGATTAGAGGTCAATATAACTTCCTGTCTGACCATTTTAGAAAGATCAAACACTTTGTACTTATCTGTGCATTTCATCACCATGTGAAAAAAATTAAATACAAATGAATATTCGTTAGGTTTTGGCCTTGCCCAAAAGTACTTTACATACTAGTACTATTCATACCTTAAATAAGTTGAATTATTTTTTCCTCAAGAACAATTACTATCCATTATGAACCTGATTTATATGTGTTACAAAATAAAAAGGTAGGAATCATTCATGCAAAAGGTCTTCCTGCCCTAAACAACAACAACCAGGCCACCGTTTCCTCAACCATAAAAGCTGAAAGATGGTGATGCAGCTGCTTCATATGACAACCTGCACTTATTACAAACAACACAAAGTTGGAGCTGGGGCCGCCTGCCATGACAAGTGAGCACAGACACTCCAACAAGAATAATTATATTCTGCTTAAAAGCAACCACCAAAAACATTCAGTCTTTAACAGTTGGATTTCTACTACTTAGTGTTTACCAGTTTTCAGCTGCGACTGACTCCTCAGAGTTGGAAACAGATCTGCTTCTTCTCAGTCTGTCATTTGACTGTGACAGTGTTGCTAAAGTATGAGTTCTTGACAAATGTACAACTGATGACTGTATCTGCTCAGTGCACAGAAGAACAAAGCAGACTGTTTGACTTTGACAAAAGGAAGCTCGTAATCAAGAAAAGCAGAGGTTTCAATAATCTATTTTTATCGTCTTAAAATTTCAGTTTGAACCAAAAAAAAAAACGGTATTTCCTTAATCCCTTTTATTATTGTTGACTCTCAGCAGAGTAAGTGTTAATTATCGCTCAACTGCCTCTGGCGGCTTCTGTGTAGAAAATCTCTCATTAAAACCACAGCCTGGCTTTTTACATCATTCCTGTAAATATTGATATGCCAGTTTTAGGTACAGCCTAAGTCTCTGTTAGAAGTAGCACAACGAAAGCCAACTGCTGTTATTATAAAATGGATTATTTCCAAGTCTCATAATTTTCACAACTGATCCAATACCAAACAGTATAATATGAAGGACTGATTAAAATTCCTTATTGGATCCTTATTCATCCTCCACATCTGATCTGAGTCCACCGTATACAAATCATTGAGAACATTTTTCAAATTAGATATTAATAATTTAAATGAACGATTGAGTTGTAAATTATATAAATTAGAATAAATTCTATAAAATAGACAATACATTTAGAATGAACGATTGAGTTGTAAATTATATATTCTTTAAAATAGACAATACATTTAAAATTACTGCTGTATTTAAACACCTACTTCAAATGAACTTGCTAGCATGTTATATGTTGATACCTAACCTTCTCTTTGTGTCAAAGATGCTAACATACTTTGTTGTTCAAAGATCTGCCTTTAAAATGTCAGGGTAAACTTTTAGTTTAATTTTCCTACGTTTCAGAAAGTTTTCTTTAAATCCTGTCAGGTTTGGAGATTAAAAAAGCACCACCTGTCTATATTGCACATTGTCGATTGTAGCTCACTATCTGATGTCTGTTGTAGTGAAGACGGCGCTACAGTAGCCAAGACATTGTTTCTCTCTGATAGTGCGGTGGAATGTTTTGACTTAAGAGGACTTTAGTGTCTCTAAATTCATGATAGAACACAATGTCAGTGTCACACAGTCCCTTTTTTTGATAAACATAGTTTAATGATCCTTGTACAAAAGCAGAGCAGGAAACATCCTGGTGCTTGCTCTATCCACCAAAGCCCCACTAGGTCTGGAAACCACTCCACCATTCAGTAATAATTATACCATCTCCTATTTGAAAATAGGTTTCATATAGTCATTAATGCAACTTCTTTGAATGTATGAGGGTTTTTTTTTTTAATTAAGCACTGGATTTAGAAACTTGAACTCACTAAATCGCCATCAACAATTTATAACCATGTCAAACTCAACCATATTTGTTTTAATTTTGTATCTTCTTTAATATCTACTATTAATATTTCATCATATGTATGATTATTTTGCACACATTTACATTTACAATACTTTGTTATTTAAAATCAAATATATAATAGCTCCAAAACCAGATCTGATCCTTCCACAGTGCAGGGAAAACTAAGACGAATAACTTCTGGGATAATGGGAACAAATATCTCTTTTTTTTCCCGTCTTCACTGGTTCAAATAATTGTCACAAATTTTCTCGAAATGCCCTGAGGGAATTACATGTCCATGATGAGGACATAAGTAAAAAGATCTTTTTAGCCACAAGCAGAAAAGGTGTGCCTTTTTACTGACAATCAGACTATTGGATCACATTTTCCCTCCATGGGTTTGTCAGTTACTGGTGGTGAAATTACCAGCATGTCTGCTGCTTTAATTCACATGTCTCATGTCAGCTTTGTGCCTGCAGTACAATTTTCGCTGTTAACAGAATAAGAAAATGGAAGAGACTGAAAATTGAACACAAGGCTGAAATTAGTCCACTACGTGTCAATCTTTATGATGAACAGGTCTAGGTGACAGCAAGAAGTGAATGAAAAAGGTCTAAATTGCTTGGCAGCTCAGGCAGGAGCTTGATTATGAGTAACATCCCCTATTGTGAAGATGCTGCAATTTAGGAGAGCCAGCTCAGATGTGCAGTTGAAAGAATATTTGGTCCTGCAGTAACCATTGACAGTTTCACTTCCGAGCCTCACTTTCTCTAATTTCTGATTTTTTTTTGTAATATATTTGGAATGCAGTGTAATGTAAGGCCTGTTGCACATATTCAGTAGATCTACAGCATGTACACACACATACACGAATGACTGGAGGAAAAAGAAAAAAGCCTTTTTCATGTCAACTGTCAACCTGACAGTGCCACACTATGGAAAAGACACTGTATATGTAGCTACTGTATTTTCTTCAACTTCCTATGTTTTTTCTCTACATGCAGTTGTAGTTGACATGAATAAGAGGCTTTTCACTTCTTATTCAGTTTACTGTCAGTACTTTAAACAATTACAATACAAAATGCTAAGATATTCCTCACGCATGTATTTGCATGACAAACACACAATTTGTATTATTATTACAACACCATCTAAATGCTAAAAGAAATAAAGCAGCAATAGAAAATATATCAACGAAAGGAGGCGTCTTACCTCCGAGGGTCATTCCAGCTTCAAAACACTTCTTCAGCCGACATGACGGGCAGTTCTTTCTCCTCAGCTTGTCAATTGTACAGTCATTTTTGCTTGCACACAAGTATTTCTGTTTGCCTAAATGGAAAGAGAAACCACATTAAAAAGGAGCCTCCTGAAGAGCCCGATCAAAAATACACAACTCAAGACCTACGTATGTTTTTACGTTATTCAAATTTGAAATTCATGAAAACATTCATTCATCATCGTTGAACTCTTTAAATTAGCCTCCATATATAGCACCTTGCAAACTTTTCACTCAGATCTGATCAGAAAAATGTACCATCTGTTATTCAGTCTGACTGCCTTTCAGATTCCAAAAATCATCAATACGCTTGTCAACCGTTTTTGAAGAAATTCAGCAAGTGGGTCCTTTCCAATCCAACCACATGTATTACATGGACCCAGGCTTTCTCTGTCCCTTCTGTCCCTTCAGATCAGGGCTTCTTGGTGGACTATAACTACTAGGACTCCTTCTCCTTGATGCCCAAAATTCACCTGATATAAACCATTTTACATAATAATTTGTCTTCATGATAGTATTGCATGATGTCACTATAGTAGACAGTTGATACAATACAATACTTCTTACCTGAAAACAGCTTCATCAAAACCTACATAAAAGCCCAGTCTGCATTAAAATCATAACTAAATGAGACACTGAGGATGCAGATTGACAATGTTGTGTGTTGTTGCTCCACACAGTCCTGCCATAGTGCATGACCTTTGGAATGAAACCTTTAAGTGACCTCTCTTTGGAAGCAGTGTTCTGGGACACAAATAGCAGAGCTAGAGTTTGGCTGTTTCCCATCCAGCTCCTTCTGTTTGTATCAATGCTTGTGTTTTAACATGCATACAAAACAACAAACATTCACATCTGTTAGTTGTTACCACATGATCACTGATTGCACTATAATGCAACAAAATCACAGACCAAGTACAAGTGTAGTATTGCACTATAATGCAACAAAATCACAGTAGTAGGAATCACAGTTGTAGTAGGAAACTTAAACAAATGTTTGTTTGGTTTGATTTAGCTTTTCTCGTTGTGCCAGATGTTGCTGTGTTTTATAAAAATAGACCAGTGAAATTGATAAAAGTATTTAATGTAACAAAATAATTATATAAAATGTTTTCACAGCCTGGGGTAAATTCAGGGATAAGAAGAGTATAAAAAAACATTGTCCATGTTGCAAGACTTGGTACTATCACATTGTGAGATTTTGTTGCAATAATTTAGGGCTTCTGTTTATGCTATCACTTTTGGTAAAGTCTGGGAGTGGTCTCTGTAACCAGGAATGTTAAACTCTTCTCAGATTGCAGTACCTCTAATGTAACGCCTCTCATCCAACAGAACTCTAATCATCCAACCTCTAATGTAATGTTGAGAAAAACTCACTGTTGCCCTATAAAACCATATATTATACTCTAATGTAATGTTGAGAAAAACTCACCATATATTATATTTGGTAAGGCTTTTGCCCAATCATGTTTTTAATTTTAAACTACTAACACTGACGTTAACATTGACTTGTGCCTTGTGCAAACCTAATAGCAGATCATTTTAAAATGGTGTCACAGAATGACCAATGAGGACCCTAGATATCAACGTCATCTACCAGTACTGTTTACCTTCTGCAGCTCTTTTAAAGAAAACCTTGCAGCTGCCACAGGTGAGTGCACCGTAATGGCAGCCAGATGCTTCGTCTGAACAGATTAGACACGTCCTCTGCGGCGGAAAGAAGAACTCCATAGGGAACATGTGTTCTCTGCCTGTTTCGAACCTGCAATCAAACAAGTGACGTGAACTTGTACAGCCCAACATTGACTAATCACAAGAACATCCAAAGGAAAGATGCAAAGCCACTAGGTTAACTTCCTGTGAGCAAAACATGTGTCTCTCAGTGTGATTTATTAAAAAAAAAACAAAAAAAACTAGACAACACAGAACTCAAGGCTCAGTAAAAACAAAACAGATACAAGTGGATCAAATTAAACTCTTCTTTATATAAATATTTAATGCTACAAAAATAGTTTATAATATGCTAAAATATAAATGTGGAGAGAGATAAACTTGGTCAATAATATACAACTGATAAAAGAAATCTTCTCAAATGTAATAAATTGTATTTTATGTATAAAAATACAAAATGTCCAAATGTCAAGTTTACATTTTCTTAGGTTTTTGACTCATAACTCTAAGAAGAACACTGTAGCACTGCTAATGGTATAAGACTACACGACAAACAAGTATTTGATTTTGAGATCAAAACTGCTGTCATGGTTTAAAAAAAACAAGGAGGTTAATTCGATAACCCACTGAAGCAATATATTTATAGACATCGTAAAAGGTGTTTTGGTGATGCAATATGCTACTCCTCCATAAAAAGAGTTTTTAACAGCATTAAAACACACACACACACACATTTTGAAGGATATCGAGTTTTTAACAGCATTAAAACACACACATTTTGAAGGATATCATTGTATTATTGCTATTGGAAAACACAGTCTAATCAAGACTCACTGAACAGCAGCTGCAGTCACACAATAAAACATATTCATTTGGACCTAAACCAGACCACTGAGAATGATTTAGTGTTCAGATCTAATTTAGTTGAATTCTTCCCTTTAAAATCTCACACTTCAACATTTTCTTTTGTCTTTGTTACAGCTTAATGCCACAACCGAACAAGAACCATGGAGCAACGAGTCGAAATACAATCAAAGAGAAGTGCAACAAAGTCGAAGTAGCTGCTGTGCTGAATGGACCTTTTCCAGTTGGAGGATCAAATCTCTGATTGAAAAGACATGGACAACTCGCCTAGACTGTGTCTAAATCCTTACACATCCCTCGACTAAGCAGACAAAACATTGTTTTATCACGTATTTACTAGGAGGTTTTTTCCCCCCAAAATCAAGGCTTTGCCGAATAAAAGCCGTTTGCCTTAAGCAGACAATTTTAAAGCATGTAAAGTCAATGGTATCCCTTTAAATAATTAACCACCTTATGTCTTAACATTTTTCACAATATAAGATTTTATGTATTTAAATATCATGCAATGATCAATTAAATTACATTTTATATTTAATGTTTATTCAATATTTAAAAATATCAGATTGTTATAATTATTAAAATAAAATATTTACATGCCCCAAATTGAGAATTAAAATGGTCAAGCCACTGCCTAAAGCTATGATGACCATTTCACACAGGTGAAAAGCCTAGGCATCACCACTTACTATTAGAACTATAAAAAGCCATTTGAATGAGAAGTGAAACCTCACACATACTGTCTGAAGGACGTCGAACTGGTAGAAGTGGAAGCTGCACGGGCAACTTGTAGCATTTGATTGTTTCCTGAATTGCCAGGGCTGAGCATCAAACCCTGAGCGAGAAAACAAGGCAATCAACTGATACTTAATTGTCTTTATTAAACTATGATAAAAAAAAATGTACCCATTGTGGGACTAAAGGACTTTTTTTATCTAATCTCATAATGATGTTACTAAGCAGAGGTCAGACGTTCAGGCATATCCAGCTGCTGGACCTTGTGTCAGCAAGAACCAAAAAAAAAAAAAAAAGTTTTCATTGCCCTTAAAACATTGAGACAGATTTTCACAAGTGGAACCTTATTTCTACCAATTATTTAATATATCAAATGAGTGAATCCCACTTAGCAGCCAAGATAATTTAACAAAGAATAAAAAGAATGCCTAAAACATATGCAAAGGGGGTCAAAAATTAAGACACACATAGCAAAATGCCCAATAAATATCTGCCCAATAAATAATAACCTTTTTCTTTTCTTTTTTTTTACTTGTTAACCATCCAAAATACATTTAAGATTTTTACCACATTACTAGCTATGGTTAGAATGTCTTCTGGAGATACTGAATCAAGCCCCCATTAAAAATAATTTCTCTCACACAGCAGCTGACTGCCACGGGTCCTGACTTTTTCTTCTATTCCAGGTCATGTAGTGTCTTTTTCATTTTCATGCTTGAGCAAAGTGTTAAAATGTTCATTTTGAGCATATAGAAATGGAAAAGCAATCGGACAATTAAATGTTGCTAATCTCTCAGCAATTATTGCTTTCAAAGATGTATTGTACAAATAACAAAACAATGGTACATGTACACAAGTAGGACCACAAATCAAGAAAACAATTTTCTCACAGAAGTCTGTCTAATTTAGAACTATTTAAAATTAGAAACGACCAGTTTCGATTTTTCCATAAAAAAATTACCAATTATAATGCAACAATTATATTTTTAAATTGTAGTTCACTGTTTAGCTTGAGTTACTTTTTCTGCATTGCACAATAATTAATATTTACAAAACAAAATGCATGTGTCAGATTAAGGTCAGCTTTGATTTGTTTAAATATCATACTTTCATCACCTTTTATAATTTACAAAGTAAAAGCAAATTATTATAACAAATTATTCTTAATCAATAAACGAAACTATGATTCTATTTTTTTTATTGTAAATGTTGTTCATATCGTGATGACAAGAAAATACCAAAAGAGATAATGTGATTATGTGATCATGTATTATTGATTACATTGTCGTGAATGTTAATGTGATGCAGTTACCTCGTGTCGTTGACATCCAGCCACTCGCCCACTTCAGTCTTCACGAAGCCCGTGTTGTTGGGATGGTTGGATCTCGGGTACCAGTGCCGGGAGGGCACGTCATTGCGTTCATATGGACTGTATGTGAACGTGGAGTTGGTTCGGGTGCCGTGAGCACCCACGCACTGCCTGGACCCCCAAAACTGTGTGTTGTGCTTGTCATTGAATGTGTAGTCACTGCGGGTCCACGGGTGGGAACCGTCCTCGCATTTGACCTGTACATTGAAATGGTCGGACAGGAAAAAGGCGACTTGTTTTCCCTCTTCGTCCCCGTCCTCAATTCTTCTGCGTCTCTGCGTCTCTGCGGTCGTGTGGGCCGTGCGTGGAGGTGGTGGCAGAGGAATGGGCGGCAGGCAGTCACGTATAATCGGGTCATAAGGGCAGTGGGCAGCACGGACTGAAATTATGTCATCAGTAATCTCAGCGGCACTTTCGCAGCACGCCGTAAAGTTCTGCTGCTCCGCACTTGTCCGAGTCTTCCTGAAATGTTGCGCTGCAGCCGCTGAACTTCTGAAGTTATCCAGATGCTCGGCGGACCTCTGCTGCTGTGCCTCGAAGTTCGAACACTTGTAGCCCGCTGCAGCGCCCTGACCACCGGAGCAGCTGAGAGCCACGGCTCCTGCACTGAACACATCCTCTCGGCAGATGATTTCTCCGGCAGCGCACGGAAGAAAGGTCGTGTCCATGTCGCTTCCCGCGTCACTGGACTCGTTGGTGAGGCCAAGAGACACGGACACAGCTTTGCACAACTCCCTGGCCGTGTCGGAGATTGTGGCGCAGGAGGAAATAGCGGGGCAGTCCTCCACGCTGACCTGCAGCTCCTGGGGCTCAGCGGCCGTTTGTCGACAGTGTTTTTTAATTGCACAGAACTGTAGGTTAACGTTCACAGCTTCAAAAGAGCTCGAGTCTGTATTGTTGGATTTTTCCTTTCGCTCGGTTTCCGGCGAGTTCTGCTCAAAAGAAAGATGACTTTCTTCACTTCTTAGCGCCGTGCTGGGAGCGCTCGTGTCTCGCGCCTGCACTTGATCTCGGTCTGGCCAATTCCTTTGACCGGTGAAGAGTCGGTTTGTTTGGCTCATGTCCCTGATGGAGTCGGCTTCGCCAGCAACGTGAACTTTGAACGGCTGAACTGTTGTGTTCATGAGTCTCTGTTAGTTTTCATGCTCAGCACAAGTTAGGTAGAAGGTAGTGGGAGAAACGCAGGAGTCACAAACTCCTCCTAAACTGAGATGGTCGCAGTAAGAGGAGCTCCATTTGCTCCTGATTAAAGCGGTATACAGGACGGTATTCCTTCTGTTCCCCCTCCCAAAAAACAAAAACAAAAACAGGAAATACACATCAAACACATGACGGGAAAACACATCTTTTCTCACTTATCATTATTCATTTTTTTGCATTTTCACACTTTTTTGCAAGTGTGAAAATGCATTTTTCTGATCTCTTATTGGCTGTCTTTATTTTATGATATATATTCACATTTTATTTCTCTAAAAAAACTGTAAAGCAAAGCAATATAATCATTATTAATAAAAGTAATAAAAGTTTTTGCCTGAGCCATTCTTTGAGAATTAGAAAAAAAGAATCTAGCTTAGTGTTTTACTGCTTCGTTTTCTTACCTTTTATCAGTTGTTCAGTCGATGGGACTCCTCTGCTCTGCTTCCTGACATTTTGTGTCCTTGTCCCCTCACTGGTCTCTGTGCATGTCTTTAGCTTCAATCCTGCCTTCTGTTGCGTTTCACCATAAGACTGCAAAATATAAAACATGTTTTTAATGCAAAGGTGCATTACAAGGTCAAGTCAACTTTATTTGGATAGCCCAAATTCACAAAACACGTCTGTCTTAATGGACAATAGATTTATAAACATTATATCATTATATCATCATCATCAACATTCTCTTATAAATAGTCCCTGCTGTAAAAGTACATTTTGTTCTTTGACTAACAGACTCTGCTACAAAAAAACAGTTTACAAATGGATTAATTAGAGTAAATCTCAACAAATAGGACTACGGTCGAAAAAGTCATCCACTGTTAGTGACGCAGGTTCACACATTTCTTAATAATGATTTTTTTTTTTTATCTTTATGACTTACCAGAGGTGGAAAGTAACAAATTAGATTTACTCAGCCTACTGCAATTGAGTAGTTTTTGTGAGTGATTTGTAATTTTCTAAGCATCCTAGGATCAAGAGTGGCAAGAAACAGAATCCAAATTGCTTGAGGTCCAGTGAGAAGTTAATATTATTTATAACAGTACTATCGTTATATATGTACAGAAGAAGTTCCAAAATGATATGTATGTAGTATAAAATAATTTAAGAAGGTAAGAATAAGATGAGAACAAGTAAGCAGATAAGAGATTAAAAAATTGAACAATAAAAACCAATAATAGGCTAACACAGTCAGTGATGAATTGATGAGCCAAGTCATCTGCTGCCCCCTGCAGTTATTTTATAGGAAAGAGTCAGTGAACTCTTTCATTATCTATGAACTACTAAAACGGTTGAGCAGTGGCTTTACTCATTGTAAACCACAGGTTTACGCCTTCACGTTGGTGCAGGACCCAAATGCAGCACAAGGGGGCACTCTCTTCAGGTGCAGCAGGTTTATGAACGCAAAGCAAAAACCACTAAAACTCACTTTGTCACAAAGTGTCACAAGTGAGACTAATCACAGAGACACGGGTGTGAGTGTGATCCCAGCGATTAACCCCTCACGACAGCCCTAACAGTTAGAGCATTTTTTAGATTTTTGTTTTTATCTAATTTTTTCGGCAAAATCCAAATTGTGCACGTACTTGTTGGTCAAATGTTGAACAAAAAATACAGTTTAATGAAAATATTTGAAAAAAAAAATCGGATTTGTGTCTTTTTTGTATGTTTATCATCAGATTAGAACATTTTAAGAAATATGAATATATGGCAACGACCATATTCATGGTTAAAATTAAGTGGTGTGATAGTGATTACCAAACAGTGTTGATACAGTGAAAGGATTTCCAAGGTGTGTTTTTTTTACAGATGTGACTTATGGTTAAAATTCTAGGTTGTGTCATAGTGGAGTGATTGTTATTACTAATTTCAGGTTTATATGTAGATATCTTGAATATATCTATAAATATGAAGATATTTAAATTTTATTGTTGAAATCACTTTGGTCAATTGGTGGTTACTTCCTGTGAATATTGCCAAGTACATTTACCATAAAAATAAGAATTGAGAGTAAAATCCCAAGTGAAAATTACAAATTGATTAAAGTCAAGACAAGATACAAAAGGCATCAAAGAAATTCTGAATCTTTAGCAGTCGACAAACACAAAAGAAAAAAGAATAATGACAGCAATACAGTTCCATTGACATTAACACAGTAGTGTTTAAGCCAAAAACTAGCAGCACAGTAACATAGAGTTACAGTTACTATTTTTACATTCACCTCCATGGAAGATGTCTCTTCTGGGACCTGGAATAAAGTAAAGAATGTGAGACATTCAAGTCTGAACCTTTTTTTTTGCCTGAAAGATTATTTGATTAATACATGGACATTGAAATAGTGTTTGTTGGATAACAGACATTGTTTTTAGACTGAATGAATGCTGATTTGGAACAGTGGTCGAAACAGAGGCAAAAATGTAAAGAAGAAAGTGTGTTTTTGTGCAAAAAGTAGGTGCAAAAAGTAAAGTAGTAAGAACATAATTGATAATAATCTGTTCACTTTATTGAAAATAATAAAAACAAGGTAGTTATATTATTTTGTAATTAAACTCTTCATTTAATTTACCCATCCATTATAAGAAAAAAAAAACGTACTTATCTTGTTAATATTTGTAAATCGCTTTAATAAACAAACGGTAAAAAGTAAAACCAGTAAAAATGGAAGCGAGTTTAAAAGAAGGAATGTCGAGTCTTTCTAGCACTTTTTGAACCGTTCCTTTACGCCTCTCCAATCCAGTAAAGAACAAAGATATCAGTCAATAATAATGGTTCAGTCTAGTAGACGTCTTATATTCCCTCTTTTTATATATTGTTTAGGAAGTGTTTTATGAAGATCAGCTGTGTCCACTTACATTGACTTTACATCAAATGACAGTAACATCTGTGTGATTGACAGATGACAAAGTTGATTTTGTAAACACCGGAACATTTTCTGTCAGGCTGTGCACACAATGTTACAAATAGGAGTAAAAAAAAAACAAAAAAAATAGGATTAAGGTCAAAAGATTTGTTTTGACAGCAGCATTTGGAGTGACAGAGTAAAATAATCTTTTAACAGTCAACTTTATTTAAAGTTTTCCACTTTTGAGGAGTATACAGTACAAACATTGTCAGCCCGGCTCAAACTGTTCCACGTTTTCATTAGTCAGTCTAAACAAAGGTGTCAGCCGAAGGTATCAGTCTTAATTTCCCTCTTGTTATACTCATGACTACTTTGATCATTTACGGGTCTCGAGCTGTGTTAAGCAAAAACCACACAAGTTGTGGTTCAACCTCCACTGTCTTCTTTGATTATTTATACACAAATCATCCAGTCAATCATGAATCTGGGTTTAGTTTCCAATGACATTTAGTCTCAACACGAAAACAAGTCATTTTGTAGGTCTTCTCTGGGTTTTGTTTTTTTGTTTGTTTGTTTGTTTTTAATGACTTTTTAGAGGAATTGCAACATGTCACTCTTCCTTAGCTGCAGGAGAAGGCTATGACAAAGTCACAAAGACGTTGGTAGATTCCATTTACCAAGCGGTCGACAATAACGCGTCCCAGGCAAATCCCAAACCAGCACACCCCTTCATCAGGGAGGGACGGATGGCCACAAACCAGTTAACTCTCTGGAAGACCATTTGGCCTGTGATTGGCAGCTCCAGGTTGACCTTAGAGGACAAGCCCAAGTTCCCTGCAAGCATCACAACCAGTTCACTCTGACTAGATTTGGTATTATCTAGGAAGCAGTGGTTCTAGTGCAGTACTTATCAAATAGTGGGGCGGGCCTCCCTGGGAGAGTGTGGAGCAGTGGCAGGTGGGGCGTGAGGGGCTTCTAATGAAATATGGCACGCATATGGACATAAGTGTACCACTGCTGTAATGCTTGAATGATAACAAGCATCCAGTCACTAGGGGGCAGCAACCCATACTGTGGTTTGTACAGATAAAAATATACATGTTATCAGTTTCTCAATAGTAGCTGTTTCAATTCCCGGGGGTGTGGGCTGGCGGGGGTGATGATGTCATTTCCTCACCTCCAAATGACAATAGCCTGTCCATAAAACACGACTATAAATAGACTGACACATACTGTACCCAACAGACCGGACTAGACCTCATAAATAAAGCCGTCTTGACAAGAGACAACACAAAAAGTCAAACTTACATTTTTTTAAAACGATTTATAAAACATTTTCTTTTTAATACATTGTTTTTAAATATAATTGTAAATCTGTAGTTGTCTGTTTCACATACAGTATCTGAGATACCTGTTCTGCCCCATCCTACCTGCCTGACAGGTCAAACCAGAGGCAGGAACAGGCTTGACAAAGCTGCATGTGGTAAAACTCCTAGGGCTGTTCTACTCCCATTAATAAAGAAAGAGCAACAATACAGAGAGCAGAGCCAAAATGCACAGGTAACGTTTACTATTTTAATTTAAGTATTTTTTAATAAAGCTGTAGTCACTTTTTTTTATATAAATCCATTTCCAGCTACACATATTGTCTGAGTTGATGTCTGGACAGACAGGATTATTATATTCACCCAGGATTTCTCTTTCTTCTATAAATAATTTGAAAAACTTAAGGATGTCTTTTGGTGATATCTTTCTGATATTTTTCTGACTTTGTAAAAATAAGGTGAAACAAAGATGACTTGGCCTCTAATGTGGGGAGAGATATGATAAATATGCAACCCGGGGAATATGTGATCAAGTTGTAAGTGTTAATTCTGACAGTATCTAATCAACACCAAAGGTTTGCTAAAAAACAAAAACAAAAAAAAAGTTTCACATTTAAAACCTTCAGGAAATCAGGGTGTAGCAGTGCAGAGAAGGAATGAAGTGAATCATTTCTATTTAATGAACTGGACCAGGAATCATGACCAGGAATCACCATTACTCTTGTATGTGATGTCACATAGGCTACTATATGAGTACTCATTGTAGGCGTGGCTGTCTTCTTTATGTACTTGAGGACTTTCTTGTTCAGCTTTACGTCATATTTTTTCTGTTCTGGCAACTGCACCTTGTTACATCATAACAATGAAGTGCTTTTTCTAATTATTTGACCTGCATGTCAAACATGTAAGTCAGATTGTATGTATTTATATATTTATACCTGTATAATTGTCGTATATTCCCATGTAGTTCTAAACTGTATTAAACAGCTGCAGCACATGTTTAGTTTCCATATCACTTGTGGTGTGATGGTCATTGTTTGCAGTTTATTCATTCTGTCAATGACCCCCCTCCAACCAGTCAGTGACTTGAACCTTAAACCAACCGTACCAACACACTCACCCTAACTTTACATGTTGTTTTTCTCTTTGTTATTGCAGAACTCCCAGGATAATAAAAACTGCAGCAAGAACTTTGCTGTTGGCAGGCACTATTTACATGGTCATATATTTATACAAGGTTTCAATCAACAAAACTATTTCACACCAAGATGTCGTGGCAAAGAAAGACTACGTGAGAAAACTGCCTGAGACTCTGCCCTCAGTAGATTTTTGGCCGAACTGCACTCAAAACAAATCCGCAGCTAACATCACGGGCTTTTCAACTCTTCCTCAACAATTACAAAACTTTCTCTACTATAAACACTGCCGGCATTTTCCCATGATCCTCGACGTTCCCAACAAATGTGGAGGCGCTGAACGATCCCAGGACATCTTCCTTTTACTTGTTATTAAAACCATCCCTGCAAACTATGACCGCCGCGAGGGGCTTCGCAAAACCTGGGCTAAAGAGAGGCTGCATAATGGCGTCTGGATCCGAAGGGTCTTTGTGGCCGGAACGACAAACGAGGGTTTTCAGAAAAAAAGACTGAACACAATCCTTGAACTAGAACAGACTGAGTATAATGACATTCTACAGTGGGACTTTGAGGACTCGCTCTACAACCTGACCTTAAAGCAGATCCTCATCCTTCAGTGGATTGACAAAAAATGTCCCAACGTCCAGTACATACTGAACGGTGATGATGACGTCTTGGCTAACACGGGCAAAATGGTGGAATACCTTCAAGGCCTTCAGGAACAAAATGTCAGTAATCACCTTTTTACAGGTCATGTAATCTTTAACGCGTATCCCATCAGGTCAACACTGAGTAAGTACTATGTACCCCCGCAGGTGCACGACGGTAAATACCCCCCATACTGTAGCGGTGCGGGTTTCCTCCTGTCTGGCTACACAGCCGCGGCCATTTTCAACGCGTCACATACGATAAGTCTGTTACCCATCGACGATGTTTACATAGGGATGTGCCTGGAAAAAGCGGGACTCAAACCTAAACCTCACATTGCTATACTCGACACAGTAGTGAACATTCCTTCAAAGAAAGTTGACATATACGACCCCTGCTTTTACAGGGAGTTCCTGCTGGTCCACAGGTTTCTTTCAGGTCAACTATATCTCATGTGGCAAAGAATCAACGACCCAAATCTGAAGTGCTCAGGTTTTCAAAAATAAAGGTGGTCAAAGAGTCCGTCTGTGATGGACTGGTGCCCTGTGTAACCCTGGCTGGTTAAGGGTTAAAACACTTGATGATGGTTGGAAAAAATATTTAATTAATGACATCAGTACTGACATCATCTTCATAGAGTCTATTTTATTATTGTGTGATTATATGTTAGCTACAGTTTGTTTGTGTAAGTCTGCTTAGAACAAGGACATTTCTATCATTATTTATGATGTCAAAACAGGGCTTATGACTTGGAAAAACCAAGTAACTTCTAGAAGGAAAAAAGGTTTCTCAAAGTTTAAAGGATTTTACAATCGTATATCAACGGTATATGTATATCTACGGTATATATTGAGCTTATTTTCCCTGAGGATGGATTTGGTTACACTGTATGTATATCACCTATTGAAATAGGTTTTACTATCATTATAAAAAACATCTGTCCAGTCCAAAACAGAACAGAACCTTCATTAAGCTAAGTGTTTGTGTATGTAACGTGTAAATATTGTCCACTCTTATTAAATTATTTTCAATCAGTCGAGAGCCTTGGTGTCATCTTTTGAAAGATGCTGCTGAAAAACCTCCATCGTCAATGGACTCAATAAACAATTGCAAATGTTGCTGAGTCTGCAGATGACAGCAGTTCAGCCCCAACAGTTCCTCACTCTCCTTGAGAGCACAACAACAAGTATTCTCACTTGTTTCATACTTGTTAATATTCAAATCTCAATTGTTTCACTCAATTCCCTTAAAAAGAAAAGCTCTCTTTAGGAACAATTAATTGCAGAAAGTTTTGTCTTGTTTTTTTAAGCAAAATGTCATTTTCATTATTTACTTTCTATCTATATATTCACATACAACACTGGGGTAAGTCAGAAATTAAGACAGTTGTTGGGGCACATTAAGCTAGGCTCTGAGGGGCAATAGAATATAATAATAATAATATATATAAAATAATATAATAGTGATATTTCACAAAATATGAAGAAGTAATAATAAATATCACATTTACTTATTTGCATTAAAACAAAAAACATGGACTAATTGTTGTTTATTGTTAATTATGTTATGACTGTACTGGTCCGGCCCACTCGACATCTGATTAGGGTGTATGCGGCCCCTGAACCACGATGAGTTTGACACCACTGATCTTCCAGGACAATCGCGACACACTGCACATCTTTCTCACACACTCTTCCTTTTTTTTTTTCACAATTTCCTCTAAATTCTCTGTGTCACTGACCACATGTGTGAGACTTGAGTTTATACTTTGTACTTACTATTTGTTATATTTCATATGTTATAAATATATCTATAATATATTAAAAAAATCACAAAAAACAATTACTGAACAGATTTAAAATGTCTTCAAAATCACATGCACAAAAGAGTAATGTGTAAAGAAGGATTAATCAAACTAACCAAAACAAACTGCAGTAAATTTGACTTGACACTGAAGCCATTAGTATGGAAAACTTTCCTCCAGATAACATCATAAAAGTCATTCAAGTCTGCTGTAAACAATGCAAAAAAACAAAACATGGATAAAAAAGTCACTGTGGAGCTGAGTGCTGGAAGACAGGAGAAGTGAAGAAGAAGTTAAACTCTGTTTGGCATTTGTCACAAATGTGGTGACGAAACAGTCCCCGGCAGTCAGACACAGAAGTGGGGATATGATTGTTGTGAACATTGACATTTCACCCAAGCCAGGAGCTTATCTTTACCATAAACTACTGGATGTAGATATTTTTCTGCCTAAATATGAAAAATAAGAATTAAATACTAGATTAATAGTTTTTTACTTTTTCAGCCTTAAGGAGAACGATACAAAAAACAGAATGGTTCAACCATCTATTCACTAACACTCAAGTATATCTACTATTTATATTTAGCGGTTTTCATTCAATATAAATAGTACTGCACCTCCATATATTACAGAGTCAATCAGGGAATATATACGGCAACTTGTCTTCTCAAAACCCAAATAATAATCATAAGAAAGTCAACTATTTGGTGACAAAGTTTAAAAGTTTTTTTCCTCTCAATGTCCCAAAATATCTTAAATTGATCCCACATGTCTGCGCCTGTTATTTTTCAACCAAACAACATCCCAGGGTTCTCACGTCACAAGAAGAGGGGTGCCTCTGAACAATGACATCACAGTTTAAAGAATTAGTGGGAAACAAGTATGACCCGAGGTGTTACTGTTGTTGTGATCCTGATCCTAGAAAAAAAACTTTTCATATTATTTTACTTCACTTTACCTAAAAGTAAAGGATTCATGTTTAAATATGTATTTAAAAACATATGTATTTATTTATGTATGCTCTGCCACTACTGAAATTCTTTAGAAGGATAATTATACAGTTGTTTATCACAGAAGCCCTGAAAAATGCAGCAAAACCTAATCTGGTCTTGGTGGTGTGGGACTGCAAAAAACTAACCAGATGCAGAAGTTAATAGACAATGAACTTTACTTAGAGGAAGTTAAGCAAAGAGGGGAAAATTATTTTAGAACCTAAAGACGTTAGACTCCAGGACTTTATTAGAAACGCTGATATGTGGATGAAAAGTGCTGAGCTTCAAACTTGCTATGAGGAGGTGACTCTAGCTACTTGGACATTGGTGTAAACAGCCGCTATAGGTGGTTTATAGTAAGAACTGGCATAAAAAGCAACACAACTGATCAATCACTAAGCTGATGTGGCCCAGATGAAGGCACACCCTGAAGGCAAATGAAATGGATATTACCATATTTAGTCAAAGTGTGGAGAGGGACATACAGGTTTCACTTTTTATTGTATTTTAGTGTAGCTTCATTTGCCACAGTGCACGTTGCCTTTTCACAAGGTCGGCATTTATGAGGAAATTAGTTACACACACGGAATAGAAAGGTCACTTTGATAAAGAGGAAGGCCGTCATATGGCTGCGTAACACTGAGTGAGGTGTGGTCAAACGCTTAAAAGTCTTCCACATTTTAAATAAAATGATGAAAAGTCATTCGTTACTATTTTTGTACTTTATGATATAAATCGGGTTAATTTTTAAAATATTATTGTCCAGCTTTTTTGAACACCCTGCAGATTAAGCCAAGATAAAGTGTCCATTACAAAATTAGGAACACACATATTTGGCCATGTTGTAAAAGAAAGGAAACTTTATTAAAAAAGAAAGTAAGACTCAAGTGGAAAAAAATATTAAGTGAAGTGAAATCCCTGTAAAAAAGAAATAATCAATAATCATAATAAATTAAAACAAATGAGTTTATTCAAATATTTATTTTTGATATTTTCATTTAGTTTTAGCATGCAAATCTAACACACAGGTATTCATATGAGTAAAACAGATGGCCAGACTTTCAGTTTATTCATTGGTTGTGAATAGTATCCGGGTCACTGTAGTGTAAAGCAGCGTGACTGGTGATAGGAACCGTAACAAATGATGATACGGTACGGTAAGTGTAATTTTCATTTATAATAGAACAATATGGAGATATTTGGGTGGCTAAAAGTTTGATGCATAAAATGTAAATCATTCAAAGGTTGCACAGTTGTATATCAGCTTTCAATTCATTCAATATTGAATTGAATTTTGTATATCAGCTTTCAATTCATTCAATTCAATTCAACTATTTCTGATGTCTATGTACATTAACCTTAACTCTGCAAGAGCTGTCAAAAAACGCATTAACCTAGTTTAGTTAGACAACATGACACGCCACTTACCTTGAAACGGTCAGGGTCATTTGGTGGTGGTCCACTCTGCTGAGAAGAAAAGTGACCCCTCACTTAGGGTATTTGACAAACTGACACTCAACTCATGCACAGTGTCTAACTCAGCTTGTCAAATACACTAAGTGGGAGGCCTGATGCTCCAACAATACTGGTGAGGACATCTGTAAATGAAATAGATAAGAAGTTGGTAACAGATAAAAGATAACAGTCAGATCTACACACAATTGTGATACTAAAAAGACAGGAGAAAAAAAAACCCTAAATATATATCTATTCACACACGATGATACATTTTCCTACTGCTCGGGCTGTAACCTGATCATGAGACCAAGTGCAGGGCTCCTCTTTCTTCCTGTGATGATTAAACTGTGCACAAGACAGAAAATTTGACCACTTTGTCAGTGCTGCAACGGAGGGGGAAGTTGAAACAAGGAAGATAAGTGCAAAGTTAGCTCTCAGGAAATATGTGGAAATGAAGTGTCAACATGTCACAGTTGTGAAACACTGTTGAAGGCACTGTGTTGCTTACAACTTCAGAGAAAATGGTTTGCTGACACATTTGTCAGTTGTGCGTGTGTGTTTTTTCACAGTTATAATGTACTACTGCATGTGTATACACCACATGCCATATATAATTTATATACTATTTGAAAGACTAAGTAACAATATTTTCCATACAGTACATGTACAGTATTTTTTTTCAGTTGCCCTTAATGGTGGTCTGCAATAGGATTGGTCTAGGTCCAGTTTTCAGTGTGACATTTAATACAAATTCAGACATTTCTAAATTTCCTGGCCACAGATTTGGGTTTTTGTTGCTGTTCTGTAGAATATTTTAGCACTTTTATTTGTTTTAAAATATTAAAGAGGCTTCTGTGGGCTCAGCTCACTCATCTTGAGTGTCAGCATCACTACTTCCGGCAAGACGTATGGTTGTGATTCTGCTGTATTTACATCATCACTTTCGGCAAGACAGCTAAAACAAAGCAATATCTTTTAATTACTCTTATGTTTAAATTACAATAGATTAACTTATTTTAAAACGCTCTTATATTTATATGACAACCAAGAAACGTGTTTTAATCACTTATATTTATATTTCAATCGATTAACTTGTTTTTAATTACTATTATGTTTATATTACAATGGATTAAGTTGTTTTTAATCATGTCGTTCCCAAATGCCTGGTCTGGGTGTAGGTAGTTCGTACCCACAAGAGAAATAGACCCGCAGGTCTCCCTTCTTCATCTTCCTCACCCCCTCTCTCAGTCACATTGAAATCAGTCTGCTGAATATGCCGACTACAAACCTGGGTGTTTTTTGGTCAGGTTGAAGTTTCCCTCCATATCTTCTGCATCCACTCAGCCCACACCACAGCGTCAACTGGAAATGGATGGAAGCTGACTTCCTTGTAATAACGCCACGAGAAGGTGCACAATAATGGTACACAACGATAAAGTGCTGAGGCTCTCATCTTTTGACAAGCGAGTCGCTTTCCTTGAATCTTAAAACAATCTTTATTAAAACGCTGTAAAACTAAAACTCAACTCTCAAACACTCCGCTGTTATCTCCCGCTCCAGTGGTCAAATCGCCGGAAGTTTTGACCGGAAGTACGCGCCCATACGCTCCGAACGACAATACGCCATATTGTCCCCTGTGGAGCATATAGGGAACTGCACTCTCTGCTCTACTCAAAGGGGGTCTTGTACGTGGTCTACCTGGGCCTCACATACTGTGGAGTCAGTGTGTTCATAATATTTGAGATTATCACTTAAAGAGACAGCGGAGTAACTAAACCTTTGGCATAAAATTAAAGCTAGCTGAAATATTTTGTGTTGGCTATTTGGTGTATTCTATTGCACCTCGTAAACCAAGGTCAAAGTGCATGTGCAGTAACTTTAATACAGTACAGCTTGTATTGATTTAAGCAGCACAAAATACAAAAAAAACCCATATGATTTCCTCTTAGTTTACCAAAAGTCACAGTTGTTCTTCAAACCTCTCAAGAATTACTTACATTTCCTGTTGCAACAGTCAGGAACAGTGCAGAAACAGAACGTTAGAGATTTCTTCACAGTTGCTTATTTAATTTCGACAGCAGCTAGATCAAACACATAACAGTGAATATATAACCGTTGCATTCCCTTTCTGTTCTGTGGCTCATTTATACAGGAGTGTCACTGTTGTTACTGGTGTTACCAGGAAGAAGAGCAACACCAGTGGCCGTAACACCAGTGACAATTTGGAAGGGAAACAACAATTTTAACAAAATGGCTGCGATGAGTCAGACCACATGTCTTCAGTCATATCTAAATCATTGAACTATTCAATGTAATCAATTTTAAGTTGAATTTTTCACCATTACAGATATGAAATAACAAAGATAACAGACTTAAAAGCTATATTGAACATTAAATATTGAACATTAAATGAATAAACTTTGTTTTATCATTACCAGGTCAGTCTTTTAGTTATTAAATATATATAATTAATGTGATTATTATTGAAGTAAGTGACAGCACTTCCATAGTTTTAGTAGGACACTTAAGCAGATCCAAAGTCAGAACACAAATGAACAATATAAATTTAGATTGCAATACTGATGCCTAGTGGCTAGTTTTCTTATAGCTAATATTTTATTACGTAGATGTCCAGTTGCAACCGAAATAATTTCTGTGACCCTAAAATACTTTGGAATAATTAAATTACATTTGCTGAAAATGAAAATGTCATCGTTGATTAAACTTGATTTTAACACACAAGGAGTTTTCAAAATCAGATTTATTGTTTACATGTCAAGTACCTACAAGAAGACATAACTAAAGACCAAAAATTATATTTTGTAAACACTGTTGTTGAATTTCATGTCACTACCTGGAATGAAGATACAGTTTAGATTTGCTAGTGTTGAATGTAAATGGACAAAAAGAAATCTGCAATGTTCCAGTTTGTCATTTTTAAGAATTAGTTCATTGTTGTTGCTTTTCAAATTAAAAAGAATTCAGAAATCTCTAAAGTCAGTGGTGCTGATGTTCTTTACTATAACGTTGTACTTCTCATGGTTTTCATGGTCTTTCTCACTATAACTTTAGTCAGATATTTTTGATAAGCATGATAATGAAATTGTAGCTCAACAGCGACAATGTCTATTTCTACTGTGAACATTAGTGTTATATTTGCAGCATTTTTTTCATATCCTTTCAAGTGAAGTGCACTAAGCACCCTAAACAGTCCATTTTAAACCAACCAAACATGAGGAATGTGAATATATACACTCAAATAACAAGGCAGAGCAGAAGCCACATCTTAGCTGATGTTTGATTGACAAGAAAAATACACTGGATTACCGAACACCTTATTTGGTGGAAATAAAGCTGCACTTTGCTCAAGCCACACACCCTCATAAATTAAATAGATGTTTTGGAAATCATCATAATGTGTCAAAAGTTTGTTACTGGGTAATTATAACTGCTTTTAAACTATTTAAACTGTACCTTTGTCCTGTATTGACTAAATGGTGTCTGAACTGTGTGCATCGGTTGCTCTGCAGCCCGTGATCATGGAAGAGATGTTAATGTCAACAAAGACTAACTGCCTAAAAATGGGAACTAAAAAGGGCACAGGAAGTAAAAAACACAAAATCATTATCTTTTATGGACCGTTGTATTACTAAGTGGTTCACCACATTAAGCTTCATCAACTCAGCACGTGGGTGACATCTACTGGCAAAGTGGTTGTTTAGCTGCTCGTTCTTATTTGAACCAAAAATGTATACGAATTTGACAGGCATTTACGGTGATTGACTCCTGCACTATACACAGGAGGGAGATATTTACAGGGTTTAATGGGGTTGTGTGTAAATATTGAAAATTATTTTACTACTTACATAATGATGACTTTGTAACAGTGAATTCAAACATTCAACTTCTGTTCCAATATCACTTTAAAGCAGAAGCCATTATGGATTACAGCATAAAGACACAATCAAAGAACCCTAATATTAGGGGTGATCCTAAGAAGCAAAAAGAAAATTTAACACTAAAGGTGTTAAAAGCTTAAGGTTCATTATTTGGTCACTGTGTATTATACGGTATGTTAGTGTTCTTTTTCTTAAATCTAAATCCTTGTAGTCATTTAAAAAAAAAGAACTAAAACCAATAAAAAGTTAGAGAAAACCCAGATTACTGTTTTGGTTTTTTTGTGCTTGTTACCTCCTGTGCTCATTGGATTTGCATATACAGTATAGTAATAGTAACAATATATTTCATAATAAAAAACATGAAAATTGAAACCAGGTTCCTCACTGTTTCTTTCTACCTTTTTTCTTTTTTTTATTGACAATATACAATACTTGCCTACCCTGTAAATAGGACTTATGAGTTTAAGCCACATGTTGGTAATTTCCCAGCATTATCATTTACCACACCAATAATCCCACAAAAAACAAGAAAATGTATTGTACAAGCATCCAAGCACCACATGCAGCAAGGCAGATATGTATGTTTGTAGTGCTAGTTGTTAAGGCGTTTTCAGGTGTCAGTGAAATTGTCGCATTGTGCGACTTTATTGGCCTAACCAACCAAATTGTCGGAATGTGTTTGTTAAGGATAAATCTTCAAAATCTGACTATATAATGTAAACAACATTGCAGCTACTAACATGCCAACTCGCTCAAAAACAGGCTTCTTATATAATAAGAGGTTTGGATACTGAGTAACAAGTTGTCTTGTGTTGTCTAAGTGTTTGGAGTCCGTTTAAAAAGAGAATGATACATCAGTAAACACATGTAAAAGTATGGTTGTGATTCTGCTGTATTTACATTCAACAATATATTTTTTCATTCCTTCATTTTGGGAAGCTCTTTTAAAACTCTGAAGACTCTGAAGGCATGTTTCAAAAGGGTAGCAAAGCCCCCAGCCAGTCTCTCATACACGATTCATCCCTCGACCCATCAAACACGCAAAGACAGTCATCACCATTTTGGGTTTGACCTCCACAAGGTCTTCTGGGAGAGCGTAGACACGGGCTCCAATCTTTCTTGCCATGGAAATGGCATACCTGGGAAGAAAAGAGAAGTTCATTGTTTCAAAACATAACCACAAGCTAGTTGTTCATTCTTTTTAGCCACCGGGAGTCCTACTTGGCATTTTCCAACTTGTCATCTCCAGAGAGGCTGCCATATTTTATGAGGTCATAGTTAATGCTTCCAGGCTGGATTGCGTCGATCAGCTCCAATACTGCGTGACTGCTGCCGATTTCTTTGTCCTGTTGATATAATTCAATGTTCAATTAAAATGATGAATTCATATAAAAAACAAAAACAAACTCAATAGCACTTGGCAAAATCAGGATATAATATGCTACTTATATGTTATATAGTAAAAATATTATTACCATGATTTTTAAACTGCTGGATGTTTTTCACATTTGTTAATTCACTGTTGCTCTTTTCTAAACTTGGTTTAACTTTTATTATTCAAACCTGTATTAGACAGTTACTTGATCATCATCACAACATAGAAAGAGATTTACCTTAAAGCTTAATATCTTGGTTGATTTTCCTGCTTCAGCCAATGTTTTGTTCACCCATTTCACAATAACGTCGTCATTTACTTTATGTCCATCCCCCAGCTCCTCCAGGACATTCAGTGTGTATCTAAAAGAGTGGGAAGTTTTAGTTAGACTTAGTTTTACTTAAACATTTGAAGAACCTTAACAAAAATAAATGCAATGTTTTTATTTTTCCTAGCCCCCCAGACACTACATATATATATATTTATATATATACATATATTAAATATGAAATAAAAAGAATATTCTTAAGTTCATAACCACAGACAACTGAAACAGTCAGATTATTTATGTATTAACATCACTCCTACTTTTGATGTTTTACCTTCTCATTAACTGCCACAAAAGTGCCAGAGTCAAAGTAGCGTTGCCATCATTCAGGTCCTGCCCTCCGATGCCAACAAGGGAGAACTTGGCTGATTTGCCCAGATTTACTGCATAACAACAATTCTCCAACTGGAATCACAAAAGAAAACAGTGGGCAATGAATGTTAAAACGAAGATGAGAGGAGTTTTGAAAACCAACAAACGAGGAATTGCGGACTCACTTTTTTCATGTTTGTTCCTATTTTGGGGTAAGGTGGCTTGTTGACCTTGTTCCAGTCAACCTTGGCTTTGATCTTTTCATAAAGCTGAAAGATGACAATGGCATCCTGCAGGTCTCTGCACAACAGGGTTGGGTTTGACAAATAAAAGGATTAGAAGTGGATAATTTATTAGTTATGAGCAACCAATTTTCTTATTGTTCAACAAATTAATTAAAAGGACTTTTAATCACTGAAAAGATGTAATGATGTTTACCCATAGAGATGATTAACATGTGGGTTTACTCCCAGAGAGTTCATCCAGTTCCTAAATGTCCGCTCTTCTCTCGTCTCACCTAGTAAGTAGAGAATTATGGTATTCACCATTAGAATTTCCCATTAGGAGACAGCACATTACTGCAGCAAAAAAACATGCCAGTGCATGTGTCATGTACAGTTCTTCAGGTGGTGTCCATACCTTCCAGGAGTCCCCAGTCAATGTCCTCGTTCTCAGGTTTAGTTAGTGCTGGATATTTGTTAAAGAGATTGGCCACAAAAGCAAGGTTGAGTTTAGGATTTCCACTGACAACGTCAGCTGGGGTGACAAACTGGCGACAGCCGAGCCTGTCAGCCTGCTGCAGCATGGCCTCTGCCCTCTTCAAGGAATCTTTTTCCTGGACAGCACACAACAAATATGTTTCAATCAGAGATGCTCTGCAGATGTCACGTCCTTAAGCTAAAGACAATCAATGGTCAGTTGTAGACTATGGTTCCCAAACTTGTATTTCCCTGCAATAGATTTGTACCTACTGATGTTGGCCATTTTGACTACTCACACTGAAGCCTGCCATGTTGATGTCTATACGTGGTTGATCATCGTCTGTGCCTTTTGGAGAGATTTGGTTTAGCAGGTGAAAATAGGCCTTGGAGTCCTGAAAAAGAATTGAACAAACATCAGTGGTTGGCAATTTCATTTAATAAATCTAATGACCTTTTGTTATAAAGTTTGTTTCCAAGTAATTTGAAAATGGTCACAGTGCGAATGGTTGCAGTTTGCTGACCAGCACAAACCTACAATAACACCTGTCTCCTTCAAGGTACAAGCTCTTCGCTGCCCTAAAACTGGACATTTAATGTTTGATCAGAGGCCTTCTACTGAGGCTGTGAATGTGGGTACATTCATGGCTTCGCAACAAACAATTTAGTGCCACTTTTAGGTTTTCTTTAGCATCTGTGGGGTTTTTTTTAATTTACTGACCTTATCAGAAATTAGTGTAGAGACTTACCTTGATGTCAGAGCTGAAGTTATTGATTTTCTGCCAGCCAGCATTTTCCAGGTGAAAGTTTGCCCAGCGCAAGAGCAGTTCTTCTGGAGACAGTTTCATTAGGTCTTCCAGGGTTTCCCCTTCTCTCAGTAATGCAGCCAGAGCTGCCAAGACAAGAACAGTATTCAGTTATGTAGGACAATTTTTGTATAATCATCACTTTTTTACTCTGCCTGCCATAACCCATTGAAACTAAACCGGTCTGATGCCTGCTCTGTCAAACCAGCCTCACTGAGCGCAGTGCAGTAAATATCCTAGGAAACGTAATGGGAGAGGCACAGTTGAAAAAAAACATATACCTTCATTTCTACTGAGCTCAATGTCAGCAAACAGACCAATCTTAATGATCTGCCACAACAGGCCCAGCACAAGATGTGGTTTTCCCTCCATCAGGTCAAAAGCTCCAATGTTCACCACGTGGCAGCCAATGGCAGAGGCTGAGTTTAGAGCCAGGTTAAGATTCTCCTGTGAGACACAAAGCATTTAGTACTGATCAACTAAATATAAAGTATGAAGTATTAATAATAATTGGAATTGAAAAGGAAAAAAAAAAAACGGGTGAACAAAAATGTTTTTTATTGACCTGTTTGGTAAACGGTGACAACTTCTTCTTGTTTATGGTTCTCTCATCAATTGTGTCTGGCACTGACAAGTTGATCATCTTACTGTACACATAAACAAATGTAATATTTGGCACATTACTTGGTCGTGAGAGATTATCAGGTGTCCTGATAATGATGATTATCTAATTTCACATAATTGGTCCGAAAACTACTACTGATTTATTTATTCAGTGACACAGTGATGAATGAAAAACATTTAAATAATTTGTTGAAAATCTTTGTTTGGGTCTTACTATGACTAGAGCCATAGTCTAAAAAAACAACTTAATTTTACAATTAGACATTTGACTGATTTAACCATACAACAATAAATGATGGAATAATAATAATAAACCTGGAAAGGAACAGTAAAAGCTCCTGCAATACATTTCACAAAGAAAAAACGCATTCACATGTAAAATACAAGTACAGACATATTGTGTATGTTATGAGTAAAAGTTCACACTCACCAGAGAACGATACCATCTCCAACGGATTTGAAAAGTGAGTCTGTGTTAGGATCCATGGGTAAGACATGTTTGCAGTCAGAATCTTTCTCAAGCGCCGTGTTGATCCAGTTCACAAATGCAAATCGCTCCTCTTCTGTAAATGGATACAGGCAAAAAAGCATTAGGTATAGACACCAACAATAAAAACAGCACAAGCTAGACATCATGGCTGTTAGTATGTTCTAGGGCAGGTTATTTGTCCATGCAGAGTCCAACGAGTCATTTGATGCTAAATGATGCATTTGTGTCCCAATTGTAAACTTAATTAACTGGAATGAAAATGTAGCTAGTATTCAAGATGTAAAGACCAGAGCAACTGACCGGAGAATGAGTGTTGTGTGCCTTCACTCGACAGCTCGGATGTTCCACCAATAGCCAAGATCCCTTCTTTCCTGTTGATGGCCTTGCGAAATGTTTTTGCTATTTCACTGCCTCTCAGCTCCTGGACAATCTAAAATAAGATCATTGATGATACACAGTATGTTAACTTTTTAATATTAAGAATTTTGCAATGTTGCAGAACTGTTACATAATTTCTTCCTATCCAGTCTCTGGAGGCATGCAGATATAGACCATAAGTGAGAGATTAAAGTAGTGTGCCTTTAAAATTTGAAGGTGAACCGAAGGTGAAACAGAAGGTGAAATCTTAACGTACCGACAGAAACTCCTCAAAGCTGATCTTGTTGTCCTTGTTGCGGTCAAGTTTTTGAATGATCTCACGAACCATGTAACCAGGCAGATCATGCCCAGCTTCTTTAAGAAGTTCATTGAGTTCAAAATCATCTATAGATCCATCGCTGTCTAGATCTAGAGATACAAAAAAATCCCTTCAGTATAAGCAGTTTGTTAGCATAGTTTAATATGTAAAAATTATGTGACCTAAATTTTAAAATTAAAAAAAAACTAAAAATAGAATATTTCCTACCAATTTTGTTGAAGACTTCCCTCATTTCCTCCAACTCCTCTCTTGTTATCTTTCCAGACATTTTCTGTGATTGACCTGAAGTGGCCAGTCAAACAGGCAAGGTCAAACTGCAGAAAAAGAAAAAGCACATTCATATACACGGTTTTGAAATTAGAGACGTAGAGGTTATCACAAGTCCGGCCTGTTTTCCCTCTAACTGATGTCTGCTTATCTCTAACGTATTCATGTATTCAGCCATCACTTAACTTTCAAATTTCTGCTCATTTATTTGTTATTCAAATAATAATAAAACATGCCTGGAGAGATGTGAAAATTAGTGTGCACTGATCGTCGTTGGAGTGTGGGAACAACTACACAAAATCAGGTGTGTCAAGTTTGTAGCATAATGTTTAAAAGGACTCGATGGTGGTTTAAAAAATGAAAGGCTGTGGATTGGGGTGGACAATATTTTAATATCTATCAGTATATTTCTAAACAAGATATAACACGGGACAATATCGCTTGCATCAATATAGTTCATTTTGCCTGATATGACAATGCATGGGCCGCAGGTTTGCTCCTATTTTTCTTCTCCTTCTCCCTGTGTCCCTATATGCACATAGCTCTTCGGTTCTGCCTCCCTTGCTTACAAACACAAGTCCTCCTCCTCCCTTCTCATCTACTCAGCAACAACACAGAGACGTAGTGTGCCACAGAAAAGGAGTTGGTCAGTAAACAAAAGAACAACGGCTTGATCATTTGGAAATGGTTTGGTTTTATAGTGTAGATGGCCACCAGCAAAATGTTTCTGTAAAGCACTATAATGTGCACTATAAGGAGTGTGTCACAATTAGTGTTGTAATCTCTCAGTCGAGTGGTCCATTTATCGATACTTTCTGGTTCAACCAAATTTCAGATTGGTCAATTTCTTTTCCGTGTATATGTATATATATAATTTCATCAGGCGGAAACAGCGGCTAACAGCGGTGTTTTCAGGCCACCCCATTTCACAAATAACTATCTTCAGAACAACCCCCTTGTTTTCACTATTTCTGATTATCAAAGTCACTAGTGTCTTCAAAATAAATAGTTTTTTGGAACTTCTCTTGAAGGCTGCTTCGCTAAAAACACAAGACCTCAGAATCTGGGTCAGTTACCTCAGCTGACAAGAAAGAAACATTTCCCTACTTATTAGAAAGATTTGCTTAAGAGTGGTAAATCTTCAGTCACAAAATGGGAAAAATATGACTCTGAAGTAAAGAATCATATTGCCTTAGAAAAACAGTGTTCCCAAATTCCATTAAAGCAGAATAACCATATGAAAGTCAGTGAAAATAAGGAATTCCTCCGAGAACCCTCTTCCTGTATTGCAGTGGCATTGGAATGCATGGGTCTGAGTAAATGGAGGTTTGCTTACACAGACAGGAGGAGGTGCCGCCTTTCTACACATGGCTGAAACTGGTATGATGGCATTCCTCTTTTGAACACAACCATTTAAAGAACAAATGATGTCTGTGCGGTGCATGGTGGTAAAAGTGGTTTGTGTATAGTTCCTCATTGGAAAATTATTAAAGTGAATCTTTTCCTGAAAAGGGGCTACAATTCCAACATTGTTTGAAAATTAGTTGTTTTTTAAAATAGTGTTAGACCAGAGTCATTCAAACATCCTGACAATTAATACTAGTCTCCAAGCCAAACAAAAATCTAAAAGAACCTTAACAGCCCAAACAGCAGTGAACACTCCTGACAAAACAATTTGGAAAATGGAAATGCCAGTGTTGCTATATTTAACTTGTAGCCACAAGGATATGAAATGTGTCTGCTCAAGACATAGCGTCTACAATGAGGGCCAATAAACATTACCTCATTGGCCTGCCTCTGTCACACCCTCAAAAAAAGGCAGAATGGAAACAGACGAAGGGTTAAATAGACCAGGGGAAGGCACAGATGGCCATAGACAACTGAAATACAGCACTGGTGCTAAAGAAGAATAGAAGAGTTGTGTTCAACCAACACTGGGGTATGAATATTGTGCAACTGTCATTTGTCAGGCTCCAGAGACAGTTGCCATCTTCTGCAGCTGCTTTTTGCAATAAAAAAAAAGGTCAATGTTCAGGACAGTTCTGACACAGATATTGTCACAAGTTGTAAGCCAGGCATGGCATTCTAGTTCAACAAATAAGTATTAACTCAGTTAACCAATTATTATATGTGTAATGACTCATTATTACTCACCATTATACACACCAATGTCATCCCCTGATTCACTGCTCTTATATCTGCTATTCAATGTATTTAATTATTATCATTTAATTATTTAATTATTTAAATATTTACCATGTATTACACACTGTACTTTCCTGTGTTTTGTAAGTGAAAACCTACCTGGCAATAAAATCGTTTCTGATTCTGATAATTAATGTTTGTGAACCTTGTTTTTTAGCCTTACAATAAACTTCTTGTTTTTAAACTCAGCATATGTGTTTCATATGTTAAAGTAGAAGCTTAACACACAAACTGAGTTTTTTTTTTGTTGATATATCTGCCAATATGTCACTGTAGTTCTATGACTTGTTTAAAAATGCCTATATAAAGAAGTCTTTGCATTCAGAGAAGTATGTCTGGAAAAATATTAGTGATTGTATTTACTGTAATGTGACATACAATATTTTTATCATAGGTAATTATTTGTTACGAAACATCACAGAGATCAGGGATAATACATTTGTATCATCTCTAGTAAGTTATGACGTTGACTAAAGCTCTATATCTTTCCATATTGTAAGAGGGATTATCAATATCTAAGCTTTTATTATTCCTACAGTATATTTAGATTTTTAGCAGCTAATATATGCATGTTAAGATTACATGTTAGGATTACAAATTAGTTTATTTTCTTTGTTCCCCCCTCAATACCAGACTAGATTATAAAATAAAAAAATAGTAAATACAGATCTTTTTTAAATGTCCTTTTTTCCTTTATCTTGGTCATTTCTGGTCTATGGGGTTAACTAAAGATCACTGTGCACAAATCAAACCCATAGAAGACTTACTCTTGTCTAGATAAATTACCCAAACACTAAAACTGAGACTAGGTTCATTTGTTTGTTGTACTTTCTTTGTAAAACAGGTCTAACACTCCTCTAATCTTTCTCTATTCTCTAATCTTTCAGATGCTTTCCTCGCAACCAAAGAACATTCTTGGTAAGCCTGTCCTTTAATAAGCAAAACCAACTGTATACTTGAACACAAACAATTCTTACTTCAACTTTAATGCCTCTTTAACTAAATTTAAAAGCAGAGGGGCTGTGCCCATAGCCCCCAATAAATGTTTAGAGCTAAAGCAACTCCACCCAAACGCCACCGTTTTATCCAAACAGCTTTATGGGAAATGTGGGCACACAAATAGATTGGGCAAACTTCCTAAATCTGATGACGTTCATGTGTACACACCCAATGTAGTCTTTCTAAAAACGTAGACACAGCCACAATTGCCCACAGATATGAAGCAGCATGGGCCTTTTCCTTACCCGTCAGACACAGGGTAGAACAAACACAGGCAAGCTGTCAGGTACGGAGGTGGTGACTACAACAAACAATTCATTTACAACAGAAAACATAACCTTTTGGTCTAGAGGTGCTACATTATTAAACCACATAAGACAACATACTCTGAAATTCATTTTCCTTTTCACCAAGTGAAATGACTTCTTAGAAATGTCATTAGACAGGTTACTTTAGTGCTGTTAAAAGGCCCTGCAGTCTAGCAGCCACACCTATGAGGGTATTTATGAGTCAACGCAAAAATGTGAAGCATTACCATTTAAAACATAGTATAATCAGACAGAATGTGCCACACCTTACCATACAGACCACGCTTTTCTCCATATACTAGCTTTTTGACAATAAGAGAACTCTTTGCTAGGATCGGCCAGTAGCAATGGAAGCCAACAACTTGTAGCCTTATATATTCAGTGCCATTTTATCATTACACAATTGAATTTTAACTTTCCAAATTTTCAATAATTAAGGATCTCAAGGAGTGAGGCCATTTTAACAGGCCGTTACCAGGAAATGGCACAATGTTTAAAGTGCAACTAAGGAATAATTTACTTTTGGATTATTAGCAAAACAAACGCAGAAAATATTAAACAGTTGTTGTGTCTAACAGCTATAGAAACCTAAAATTAAACCTTAAATTTGTGACAGCAAAGAGAGCGTACAGACAGTTGACTTATAATGGTATGGGCGTGTTTAGGCAAAAGCCTAGAAAAGGCATGGTTGCTCCTCTTTCCTGATAGTCTAGTTTGTCTGTAGAGGAAACAAATCTTTTACTTAATATTTCTCATTATTTATTTCACATTTCTCATTGTTCTGAGACCATCAGTTATAAATACTTTTTTAAAAAGTAGATCAACACGGAAGTCAATTTTGGTAAATTATTAAAAGCAGACATTTGAATATCACCAAGCAATAAGATAAAATAAATGCCGCTGGCTGATAAATATCTCATCTGTACCTTGTCTGCAAGAATTACATTAGAATTACTAAAACATTAAAAAGAATGTGAAAGTAATTGCTTTTTGTCTTTGAACTTAAAAGAACAGTCAATTTGTGGTTTAGAGTTGTTTTTGAGTTTGAACTTAATGGATACAAATGAGGAACAGCCATATCTTGGTCATATAAGTTATTTGAAATCTAAATGAGAAAACGGTTTTGTATGCATCACATTTTCTTTAAAACAGAGAAACAGCATGGTACGTTTCAAGATAGGGAACATTAATGATTGTTCTGGTCACTATTACTATTTCTACTAAATAATTCAGGAAGACATATGATTAAAAAGGAATTTATTCGGTCCAATGTGGGTGAATGAAAAATCTTGTAATGCACAGTGGCAGCATCCACAGAGAAAATATGGCACATTAGTCCTTGACTACAACAACATTTTTATTTCTTGTGAGATATGAGACCAGGTTTGATCCTTGTTATAAAAAATAACGACAATAACGAAATAAAATGACTTTTCTCACAACTTAACAAAGATTATTTTTTCTATTGATTTATCTTTAATTAAATGATAAAGCGCAAACAAGTTTTGTAACGAATAAACGTTTGGACACACGCACGAACACACATTATCTTTAAAAACCAAACCTGCCTGTTTTCGGAATGTACGGGAAAACCGGCGTATCCGGAAAAAGCCTTCGCATGTGAAAACTTCCAACACTTTTCAGTCTGAGCTGAGACCTGTATCAACGACCTTCCTTCCAAAGGCTTAAAATGCCAACCTCAATGAGGCTCTTTTTGAGCCATTGACATTTTTTTATCAACCCCGTCGTTGGGATTTAAACCATTACTTTTTATGGTAGCGTTACTGGGCGTTTCTTCTTCTTCTTCTTAACAGTTTACCCAAAGAAGGCATAGTTCGAAGCAGTATACTTAAATAATAAGTCAAATAATGGCGATGTTAAATATTTACCACGACTGTTGGCTATATAAACTATGACAGAAAGACACATCGAAATTTACACTTTGTAAAGCACTCATTGTCTCTTCCTTAGATATTCGTGTTCCTTCCAACAGAGACGTTACTGCTACTTTTATTTGTTATTTATCGCTGTGTGAAGGACCCAATGCTAGCCGGGCAGCGACAAGGACAAACACGAGAAACTTTGTTTGCTCAACTACCCCGATACCAGCAAGTAGAAAACAACGGCTGCGTCATTTTAAACGAGCCTGTTGTTTTTAAACGAACCCCAGGTTTGTTTTTAAAGTAGCCAGGAAATTATAACTCACCGTCGGTGCGCCTTATTTTTCCAGACAAGACGCTGACAGTACTGTCTCCTCCACGTAGAGACAAAGTACAAAGCGCCTGGGAAGAGTCTCCGCCCCGTCCGCCGACGTGACCACCGGGCGTGGTAACGCCAACTGCGCCAACCGTTGATTTTGAACGGACACATTTATTGTGTCTATTTTATGTCTATAATGTACAATTTCATATGACCGAACTACCTAAGACTGTTCTTCTATGTATATGAATGTCGTAGGCAGGGTACTTGTGACTATATGTAAATATGATGCCGTTTTAAGTTTCAATGTTAGCTTTAGCGGGTTTGTTAGGATGTGGATTGCCTCAATAGTAGAACAGATATCTTTAGGAGGAAAACAATATGCGTATGGGTTAAAATAAACAACTAGAAGCAATTATTGAAATATGAGGACGAACACAATGAGTAAAAAAAAAGTATGTTTACTAGAGTGTCCTTTAAAAAGGCTGAAAACAATGAGCCCTAAAATTTGTTTTAACATTTGCTGAGATAACTAGGTGTGTGTTTAAATATTAAAATATTCTGGAATTGTCAATATTTTCAAGATAATGTTTGCAGCTGGAATTGAATCAAGAATAGAACAGTTAAAAGAATAAAGCAGTAGAACATTTTGTAAAACTAACAACAACAAAAATAATACTAATAATTTTGCATTATTCTACATTTTACATAGTTCTTCAATAGGTGAATGAGCACAAACACAGTTAACTATGCCAAAGAAATGGCAATGTACCTAAAGTGTGAACTAAAGATGATATTACTGTAGATGTAAAACAGATATTGCAAAGAAAATTAGAGATCTACACAAAGACACTTACATGAGTTCTTTAGAATAAAATTTAAAGAATAGATAATCACATAGGGACCAGACACTTTGTTGTATTTAATAAGTACTGTATCATTAGCGCTCTCCAGTGTTAGAAACCAGGAGAAGGGAAACAAGCGATCCTCCCAGGAGAGACACAGTCTAATGCTGCCATTTGAGGCTTTTCCTTGAGAACTGAATGTTCTCAGAACCTGTGAGGATCGAGAACACAGTGTGAAGACGAAGATATTTAAGAAGCAGTGACTTACTTCAGGAGCACATTCAACGAAAATGGTGCAAGTGTTGGATTTTACCTTTCACTTTACCAATATACGCAGTGACCACAGACAATGGGTTGGCTCATCTGGATGCGTATGTCACCGCAGTGACCTTTGTGAATGTAATTAATACAAACTCAAGGTAAGACCTAAGATGTACAGTAGGAACTTTAGATCAATTGTTTATTCTAATGTTTATTCAAGAATGTTTATTATTTCCATGTGTTTCTGTATTTTCAAATCTAAATCTTATCATGCTATGCTAGAGTTTTAGAAGCAAATGTTTTTCTATTATTAATAATAATAATAATAAAATTATTACATATCACAAAATTTAAATTAGTTATTTATTAGGCTTCTTTTAAACAGTCCATGCCAGTAGAGTAATACCTTGTTTGTATTACACATTCAATTTATTGAGTTAAATTGGTCATTATTACTGAATGGCAATGTTCTTCATCAAACCTTCAGTGCAATGTTATTGCTGATGAAGGAGTGCATGGTGAGTTGCCAGGTTTAGTCCCTCTATTGAACCACTCACATTCTGGTTTCCTCAGTGATCAAACCCCAGCGGAGAGCAACTCATCAGCTCACTGAGCCACAGTGCTTTAGGCATGCTCATGTGTGTTTGTGTTGTTGTCCTAATGAACCAACAATTAGTCACACAATGATAACAGTTGTCTAATCGCCTCATCAACTGTGCATTCAACTGTGTGTTCTGAGTTCCTGCCCCTAGTGATGAGGGTATATACTGAACTGCAGAGCATTTGAAAGTTCAAATGCCAATAAAGAGAAATAATAATAGTAAATAGAAATGCATGTGTGTGTGTGTAACTATAGCAAATGATAAACATAAATATATATTCTAGAAGTATACAATACAAACAAGTCTATCTATCCTACTCAGTTCTACTCACATTAAGTATTACAGTTTTGACATCTGTCAGGACCCATTTTCTTCCCTAGACTTTCCCCTGTCAGGACCCATTTTCTTCCCTAGACCTTTAGGTTTTGAAGACTATGTTGGATTGCTTAGCTGTCTTTGTTTGTTTTTTTAAATTTCTCTTCTCCGAAGGGAACTTTAAAATGAGGACAGATCTAAGTTGCATACTGGTTTAGCACAAATACACTCTTCACAAAAGTAACAGAGTAGCAGCGTAGCAGTGTGCTATGGTTGCCATAGCAACCATCTGTGTGCTGCGTGTCATGTGTCAGGACAAGCATAGGGACTGTGGCGAACAATCCCAGTTGTTCCTTCGGTCCCCTGACTATAAATGGGACATATACACTACAAACTCTTCAACGCCTTCAAACTGTAAACATGTCTCTCCTCCTGCAGCATCACTCCACGACTCATTATATTTAGGACTCAATCAAAATGATCACATAACTGTAATAATTTATTTGTAAAAATCATCAGATTTTTGAAGCATTTTTGATGTTTGACAATTTATTTTGTTTTATTTTTATCTGTACAAAGTGTTTAATAATGTCACAACTGTATGAACTTTACACAGTTATCTCGCTGTTAACATCATCACTGTTTCATAGATCTGAGGATGACTGGTCAGGCAGCAGAGAGGGATCGCTCACCCCACAATCTCTCAGTCAAGACAAGTCTGGAGGATGAGATTGGGAGAGCTGAAAGTATTCTGAGCAGGTGGTTCATAACCTCTTGGCCACAGCTCTGCTAAACACTGGGCAGCAAGAGAATTTAACTGTGTTGTTTGATTTGTTTCCAGGGTCCCTTCTGTTTGTGATGACACTTCGTCAGAACTGCAGAGAGTGGCTGCTCTTGACAATCATGGAACAGGTTCCCAAAAATCTTTTCAGAGGAATGGAGCCATATCAAGGCAAAACTGAAAAAAAAAACTTGATAATGATCAACTAAGTTGTTATTATTTCTGCTATTTTACTGTGTGTTGCTGTTGTGAGCCATTCTCAGCAGAACAAACCAGAAAAAATATGACACTTTTAGGTTAATATTTAACTTGAAATCACATCCATAAACTCATGTCACTTCACCAGGTTCAGGATACAGGCGCTGTTGTCCTAACGTTTATGTTTTGAGTTTGTTGCTTATACTCTTGGTTTTGCTATGAATTGAATCGTTTTTGTTTTGTCGTTTGTGTGTGATCCGTATGTTTCCTTTCATTTACTAAGATGACAGTTGTGATTTACTCGAGAATTTGTCCTCAACACAAAGACCCAAGTTTGAGCTCATAGACCAGTCCATAATTGACCAGCCTCCTACTGCTGGCCCTAGGCCTGAATAAATAAGATGGTGATTTCAGGGGAAAAGGTAACTGGGCTGCATTTATATGATGCTTTTCCAGTTGTTATGACCACTGAAAGTACTTTACAATACAGATTGTTCTCTATCTGGGGATGACATATACTGTATATATTTGAAATATGGTTTTGATTAACAAGACCTTAAGCTGGATGAAACATTTGAAATTTGGCTTGATGTGTGTGTGTTAGATTGGTAAACCTGGTGGTGAGACTCAGAGAATGGGCACACAGGAGTCTGGTAGAGGAGGAGAGACCAGACTCATTCCTGGAGCGATTTCGTGGCCCTGAACTGAGAGCTGCCTCCAGGCGCAGCAGCGTCACACAAGACGCTAATGGCAACATTACAAAAAGGATTTTAAGGTAATGTACCTCCATTTGCTACCCTGCCTTATTACCATATACTTTTGATCGATACCCTGTACCGGTGTGCACCATTACATAGACTTAAAGCAGATTATTACACCTCCTGCTGTGCCACTGACACTAATGCCTCTAATAGAGAAGCAGAGGCTTTTAGTTTTGTTGGTGTGGGTTCACCAAGCTCGGCTTGAAAGGGTCTGTCTTTAAAATCGTTTCTCAACTGTTCCATACTTTCTTCCAGTCAGCTCCACTTGGTGTCTCCATTGTCAGACATTTGTCTACTCTATGTTCACTGTATATGGTATTGAACAATATGCGACTTATTTTGTTCTGGAAGTTAGGCAGTAGGTAATAAAAATAGAACTCAGACACAAGGCTGTTACTGAATTGTCAATATATCCATGTTTCAGGAAAAATTGGGAATTGTTCGTGGTTTCGCCATCTGATGACGCCTACTACCGGTGGTTGTTTGTCATTGCCACCGCTGTGCTGTACAACTGGTTTCTTGTTGTTGCCAGGTAATCGCCCACAGAGGTTGTTGATGGCTGTATTACAATACATTCATTGCACTGTTCACTACATTGGTTTTTGTTGCTTTTAAAACAGGGCTTGCTATGATGACTTACAGATACAAAATTACATCTGCTGGCTGGTGCTGGACTATCTTTCAGACACTTTGTACATTTTGGACACCTGTGTTCGACTGAGGACAGGTAAAATAAGACCTTTGAACTAGACCGGGGTGTTAAACATACGGCCCGTGGGCCAAAACTGGCCCACTTGATGGATGAATTTTGAAAATGCCAATAATTATCCCAGCATACTGTAGCATCCATAATTGTTTCTTTTACCATTACTCCTTAACCATGTGTTTATATTTTTGACAGGTTTCCTGGAACAAGGTTTGCTTGTGAAAGACCATGTCAAGCTCAGGGACAGCTACACTCATACACTGCAGTTCAAGCTGGATATTTTGTCCATTCTGCCTACTGACTTTGCGTACTTCGCCACCGGTATCCACACGCCACAGCTTAGGTTTAATCGTTTGCTACGCTTCCCACGAATGTTTGAATTCTTTGACCGCACAGAGACGCGCACTAACTACCCCAATATCTTTCGCATCTGCAACCTTGTGCTTTACATCCTGGTCATCATCCACTGGAATGCTTGTATCTACTATGCGATATCCAAGTCTCTAGGCTTCGGCTCTGACGCATGGGTGTTTCCTAACAGCTCCAGACCTGGCTTTGGGACCTTGGCTCAGGCTTATGTCTACTGTCTGTATTGGTCAACTCTTACACTGACTACAATTGGGGAGATGCCTGCGCCTGTGCGAGATGAAGAGTACCTTTTTGTAGTTTTTGACTTTCTCGTTGGGGTCTTGATTTTTGCCACAATTGTTGGAAATGTGGGCTCTATGATTGCCAACATGAATGCCACCCGTGCTGAATTTCAAGCAAGAATTGATGCCATTAAACACTACATGCATTTCCGAAAAGTCAGCAGACACCTGGAAACCCGGGTCATTAAATGGTTTGACTATCTTTGGACCAACAAAAAAGCAGTTGATGAGCAAGAAGTGCTAAAGAACTTGCCGAATAAACTGCGGGCTGAAATTGCTATCAATGTACATCTAGAAACCTTGAAAAAAGTACGCATCTTTCAAGACTGTGAGGCAGGACTGCTGGTGGAGCTAGTGCTCAAACTTCGACCACAGGTTTTCAGTCCCGGAGACTACATCTGCAGAAAGGGGGATATAGGTAAAGAAATGTATATCATTAAAGAGGGCAAGTTGGCTGTGGTGGCTGATGATGGGGTGACACAGTATGCTCTCCTGACAGCCGGCAGCTGCTTTGGGGAAATCAGCATTTTGAACATAAAAGGTAGTAAAATGGGAAATCGCCGAACAGCCAACATTCGCAGCTTGGGCTATTCCGATCTCTTCTGCCTGTCTAAGGATGACTTGATGGAGGCAGTGACTGAATACCCAGATGCTAAGACTGTACTTGAAGAGAGGGGCCGTGAAATTCTGATAAAGGAGGGTCTGTTAGATGAGAGTATAGAGGGCGGTGGGATGCAGAAGGAGGACACGGAGGAAAAAGTGGAGAGGCTGGAGTCTTCTCTCGACACCCTTCAGACTCGGTTTGCCCGTTTACTTAGTGAATACGCACACACACAGCAACAGCTGAAGCAGCGGATCAGTTTATTAGAGGGACGGCTCAGCCCCCCTCAAGTAAACTGTGGAGCAGATGCCAACCGTGACACAATTTCTCATCCAGGGGAAGTTCATGAAACACAGCCTGTGACTTTGGTCCCCACAGATGGGACGCAACAAAAGAACGCAGTGAAAATAGAGGACAAAAGTTGTTCGACATCAAATCATTGACTTAATGTAAGTGAGGAACAACTGTGTACTTTTGATTCACATGTTATGTCTATGGAGCAGCTCTCTGTTACTGAAGCGAGAGTTTCTACAACTACACACTGTAGACATTTCAAGGAAGGGACAGTGGACGCACACAACCAACTGTGACCTCTGTTTTTAACCCATCACCACAGTGAGCAGTGGGCAGCGGGTGTGGGGACGGGGCCATGCTCAGAGCACCTCTCGAACTCGAACCTGAAACCTTCCGGAGCCAAGTCCTGCTTTGTGATATCAAAAGGATTGGAATAATCCTGCATCTACTCAAACTCAAAAACCAAGCCCAGCTGCTCTGTTGATGACCGCGCAGCTGCTCGTGCTCGGACGGCAACTGCTACATGGCTTATTGACGCACGCAGATGTTCATGTCACTTAGCGTTGTGGGGCTTGACTCCTCCGTGGAACACGTGTTGTCGTCATGTAACACCATTTAACAGCAGACCTTGGTTTTGTAAGCATGAAATCAACACGAGTCGTTAGTTACGATAGTAGTTACTGAGCAGTGTGGTGTCCTTTTCTGCTACCCTGTGATTTTATATTGTGTATATATATATATGTATATTTAAACATAAATATACACACATACATAAATATATACTGTATGTACATAACACACATATGCTATGCT